TAATATATCATTTATTTTTAAAAATAAAATAATAAATTCTATTATAATCACTCATATTTTTCAAACTCTATACTTTGTCCAAACATTTATTTTACAGTAGAAAATAATTTTAATATAACATAAATAATATTCAACACATAGTATTATCAAAATAAAAGAAAATGCTCCTTGATATTATAACTAATAAAATATTATTAAATTAATATATTTGTAAGTCGACTGACCTGTGAATGAAACGCAATGCCTAAGCACGCACATCGACATGGTGGCGGGAACAAGACTGCCGACAACACAAGCAACTGTGGTGTGAAGGCGACGAGCCCACTAGAACGATTAGCAAGTGCAACGCTTTCTGTCATACGACAAACGCGGCAATAACATTTACGCGTCTGCCACCAGGTGTCACTACATGTTACGTTTCTATGGTTTGTTCGAAAAATTCCAAAATAAATCTTCTTAGATTCATGTTGGATGCTTGGATGAATTATGGTTTTAATTTTTCTTATTTTTAGGAGAAACTTAATAGAGGACATATAACTTTTTATTGTAGAAAAATGCTTCGATATTCAATTTTTGAGGGTGATCTGAGATAGAAAATTAGATATAATTGAGTCAAAATTGGAAAAACTCGAATATTTACTTAACGCCTTTTTACACAAAATCGATTTTTCTGTACCTAATTCAAAAACTAATAAACTAAGATTATAACTTGAAATATTTACCGAATATTAATTATATTAGCATTTCCTAGACATGATATGATTTCGTAGACATTTAATAATTCGCCTGTGTCTGTCATAATGGTTTCTTGCAGTAAAAGTGCTTCGATTTTCTTCAACAGCAACTTTTCTTGTAGGAAAGTGGATCTAGTTGGTGCATTCGGGAGAACAAAATTAAAAATCCCTAATAGTTTTCAAAATCTACTGGAAATACAAACAAAAAATTAAGGAAAAACTGGAATTTTTACGCAAAACCCGTTTTCGAAAAATTTTGGTTTTTAGTGTAACTTAACAAAAACGACCGTAGATACATGAAATTTTCACTGAATAATTGTACTAGTATATCATATACACAATAAAATTTTCAAAGTATTTTGACTTGTGTTGAACTATTTAATTATAGACATTTGAAAATGTCGATTATTATTTGTTTTTTTTAAACTAATGTCAATAAAAAAAATATTCGTTTGCTCAAAAAACTTGTAAATGTAATACAAGGTTCTTCGTAAGTTTTTTTGAATGCAAATTAAAAAAAAAAATTGAGTTTAAAATTAGAATTTTAACAAAGTTCGTAAAAATCACGAAAATTAACAATTAATAATTAGTTAGAAATTCACAAAAAAATTTCTTTTCATATCTAAGATTTAAAAATTAAACACAAGATTTCCTATAAGCTTGTCCAAAAAAAATTTCTACCGGAAAGTCAAATTAAATTTTAATGAGCGTTTGAAGTTGAAATTTCTAGAACATTTTCTTATTTTGTTGTAATTCAAAAACACATTACTGCAGACACTTGAGATTTACACCAAATGTTTATTTTATCAATTCCTATACTTGACAACATTTTCAAAATATTTTGACTCGGTTTAAGCTGTTGACGGTCATTATCAATTATTTTTTTTTTTATATTTTTCTATAAATGTCAATACAATTTTATAAATACATAGGCACGATTTTTTTTTTATACGCGTTTTAAGTTCAAATTTTTCCAAAATTGCATATTGAAACAAAAAATAACGTTTATCATTTTGTTGTAATTCAGTTCCAAAACTGCCCAATTTTACAAAGATATTTTTAATATTTTTCTAGTATCAACGATAATTTAAGAAAAATATTAATTCAATTTACCATCCACCATATTAATAATAAGTAATAACAATATAAAAATCCTACACTGACATACCACGCGTCTCCACTCAGAATCGTTTTTCGTATACAATGATATAATATCATTGAATTCAAATTTAATATTATCCATTACAGTGACCTCAAAACAACTAATGTACAGCAGAGCGACATCCACTTACCCTCTTTTTTTTCTTTAAGCTTTGATACAATTCTCTATGTTAGATCAAAAGATTCGAAATGTAATAAAAGGTTCTTATTGAAAATAAAATACAAAATTAAGCAATGAACACAAATTTTAATTAATTTTTTCGATTTGAGTTCTCATTTGTAAATTTAAAAAATATATATTATAAAAACTTGAAACATTCCACTATTTCCTACTTAAATCCTTATTTTCTATACACAATAAAATTATTTAAAAAAATATGAAGACAAATTTTAAGCTTTTTTGGCATTAAACATACCTAGTATTGTTGTTTTGTTGAATAACATATATCATAATATTATAGCTATACCTATAGCATATATTATATATTATAAAAAGTCTCAGTCAATTAGCCTAAAACCGAATACAAGATTTTTTTTAAAGCAAAATGCATCGGAAAAATGTGCTCATTTTTTTTATAGACAATATTCAAGTTCAAATCATGACGAAATTGGTTATTTCAACGAACATTTATGATTTTAGTTATTTTGTTGTAATTCAAAAATTATTATTCCTAGGAACTTGAAACTAACTTTTCACCATTTCGTTTAATATTGTTTTCTATGTACAGCGAAGTTTTCAAAATATTTAGTTTAATTTTAATCTAAGTATACCACAAACCCATTCACACAGAACGTTAGTATTTAATTATAAGCTAAAAACAGCTAGAAATACTTGGTAAGTACCTATACGAAATTATATAATAATTAGAGATATAGAATTTAGGTAAAACAAATTTACCAGTAACACGGTAAAAACTGTTATCGAAATATTCACAGTATAGTCAAAAATAACAATAAGTAGTTATCTGATAGTACTATAAAGCTATTTGGGTATAATTAATATACCAAATATTATCTATTTAGTGGTTACTGATAATAATATAGTTACAAGCGTTACAGCCCCCGAAAATCGAAAACATAATACTTCATAAATCATAACCAATTACAATTAATTTAAGGCGTGAATTGGGTGGTTAAAAATGTTAATCGGTAGAAAAGTTGGTAAGCTATTTTACTTTTTAAATATACCACACTAACATCGTAATTGTAAATATAATTATATAATACACATGCGATTATTTTGGCAAATATCAGTTCAATCTACTACAATAAACTAAAAGTAAATTATCAATAGCGATAATTAGAAATAAATATAATCAAATATACATAGAAATATAGGCGGACATACTCTCCGCTTAGAATTGTTTCTCGTACACCATAGTATATTGTCGAATTAAAACTTTAAATTTAACACATCCATTACACTGTTCTACTAAATGAAGTGGCATATACCGCATACCTACACACCACAATCAACAAATACGAGTATTATACAGCGTAGTGACTTCCCCGGTTAATTGTTAAGGTGCCTTCTCGTTTATAAGGGGCATTATTTACTGTTTAGGCAATATTATGCGATTTCTTCGCCGCCGCCCAAGGAATTTGTGTTAGCCGTCAATGATGATTACTGTGAGTGTAAATGTGTGATTGTATTCGTGAACCGGGTATCTATGCACGCGCAGCATGTGCACACGTGACACGTCTTGTCAACGGCACCGCCGACCAAAAATGAAAAGCGTGATTTTTTCCCAAAACACGCTTTACAGGAAAAACTCTTAAGCATCCAAGAGTGGCTTGTTTAATTACTTTTTTTTCGTTAGGATAAGGATAATTTTCTACAGGGAGCTATTGGATTTCAGTTATTAATTTCGTTGCTTAAACCAAACATAATACAATTAACGAAAGCTAGTGAAAATCGGTCATATTCAAGATCGTATATAGTTTAGAAGTAGAATGTTTAACATTCAACCCTAATGCACCCTGTAAGAGACGTTTCTATTTCCAAAAAAAAAATATATCGAAATCGGATAACTCTACAAGGCGTGAAAATATTTTCCTGTGAAGCATAATTTTGAGCAAAAAACATATCACATTTGCATTTAATTTAATATAGAACTCATAATTATAGATAGGTACATACAATTTTCATTTAATATTTATGTAAACATATTATAAACATGATATAAGTAATTTACAAAATATTTTGGCTATTATTAATTTATTTATAGACTCTTGAATTTGTTTAGTTTATTTTTGATTCATATTTATAACATTATTTTTTCTTTGACAAAAAGCTTATTTCTATACTATAATATTATAATAATAAAATACCATGAGATGTTTTTAACAAAAATTGATTTAACTCACTGTATTACCTACTAAAAAAAAACTAGTAATAGCATTATTAAATAATATATCCCACATACAATATAAGATGACAGATCGTCTCCGTTCAAAATTATTTTTCATCATAAACAATGGCTTATCATTAAATTCAAATATAACTGTTAACACACCCATTACAGTGACTTATTCAATAACGAGATATACTCTACACTTACTATACAGGATAGTGACTTCCTGCTTTTTACATTTATTTTGTATGTAATATATATTATGTTATAGCCTTATAGACTACCTACAGTCATAAGTTAACTATGAGTTAACCACTAGTTCTTATCTATATATTTCTAATGCATATAGTACTTCTTAAACAAAAACCCGGTTCTAACAAAAAACAAAAAAACTTCGGAACAAAATGAATCAATAAAAATTTAAAAAAAAACTAAATAGCCAGCCTTTTTAACGTTGAAATAAAATGTTTGCCTTAAAGTTCTTTAATTAAATACTTACATAAGTTTAATTTGATACCTTTTGTAATAAATTGAATTAAAATGTTTTAAAGTCATCTTTTAAAAAGTAATCATGTTTAATCATAAAATATAAAATTCATTAGAATATGAGTAATATGACGTATACACTTATATAATTTACTTATATTTTAATTACCATGGTAATATATTATTTTATTTAGTTAATGGTACATATTATATTGATTTTATGCTACTAATAGTATTTATGATTTGTTTTTTACATAATCAGCAGTACTTAATAAATATTATACTTTTTATTTACTAAAATTTATATTATCGATTTATTTTGAAAATGACGATTTTCATAAATGAAGGATTGCTTAAAATTACCCAAAAAATGTGTTTAACAGCAATAACTATTTATGTATACATTCTATTTTCATCAGAAATACGAACTTGCCCACTGACCAAAACTGGCTCGAAGATATATCCATTTGATAGTCAATTTTTCCAATCGTCAGTACTTTTCTTGACTGCAGCTGCAATAGCCATAGTCGAATGCGATATATGGCCGTACAATACAAAACCAAAAAATAGAATAATTCAATTTCTTGCAGAGGTACACAAATTAATATTGATTGAAAAATTAATCTCTATTTGTATCTATTTTTTTTCATAAAAGAACACAACAAAAATGTAAAATACAACATGTCTTAAAATGATTATATTATTGTATATATTATATTATATACGTATTTAAATTTGAGTTAATGTAGCCTCTAACTTTGGTTTTTATTTCATATTTTTATAGTTGTATATTATGACAACGGTTATAATACTTGTTTATGCTCTATTTTGGCATCCCATAGTCATAACTACATCTATATTAACTGATAAATTGAGTGTACTCGTAAGTATTCTACAATAATTGATAAATTATACACTATTCACTATAATTTTACTTTTATAGACAAATACATGGTTGGGAAGTGCGAATATCTACAAAAAAAGTATTCCAATTTGTATGGAAAACATTCGCAGTACGAAGTTCCATTGTAATTTATTAGGCACATTAATATTACATTATGTACTCGAAAAATTTGGAAAGAAAGACTTGTAATCATTTTTTCAATATTATTTTAAAAATAAACAATTAATAAAAGTTATAATATTTCAGACGACGTTTAAGATGTTTGTTTTAAATTAGTATTAAAATGAAATCTGGATTTTAATAAGCTCAGCTATACATGTAAACAATATCGAAAGTATAAGCCATGCAAAACAAAACAACTTTATCATGTACGTATCAATATTTTATAGTATAGTTTTGTATTAAACAGCTAATTACATATTCACAATATTGAAATTAATGTCATCGAATGAATACATTTTTTAGACACTTTATTGCTTCAGTAAGTACAATTCATGAAAATTAAGTATACAATATTCATACATACATTGGCACATTTATATATTTAATATAATATTAAACAAATAAAATAAAATTATTACTTTATACGATTTTAAATATTTTACTGTCATAATATGGGTTTTTCTAGTTTTGTTCATATTATTTATATTTAATATTATAATTTAAAAATCATTATTATTTATTGTTTAGAAAAAACACATGGTGATAGTAATCACATAAGCACGTAAAAAAATATAAATTAAAAGAAATAAAAGAAAAATTCTAATATTGTAAACAGCACCCTTACATATTACAGGTGACTTTATACACAATTACTTAAGAAAGAAACAAAATTTTAGGAAGTTAAAAATATAATAATCGGAAAAGAGTGACGTTGGGATACAATATAACCTATTCGCGAAATAAAAATTCGTTTCTAAGAAGAGAAAAAAAGGTCAAAAATAACTATTCAACTAATTTTTTGTAAAATTATAGTTTTATTTTTTTAAATTAGTCGAATAGTTATTTTTGATTACATCTAACAATTAGTTGCTCCCAAGAACGGTGTTCAGTAACATGAGTCCATGTATCAAATGTCATCCAAATCCTTTCCACACATTTTTTCTAGATATTGCAAAACAAATGTTAGCGAGCGAATGGAAATAAGATTACTAGAAGTTATAAAATATAACTTTATTATATACAAGAAACCATAGTAGGTAACTGTATGTTATTTACTACTACATAATATTATTAACATTTTAGATTAACAAAAATATATTTAAAATATTATAATATGGAGGTGTACACTATTCGTAAAACCATATGTAAAGCAAAATGTTAAAACTATTTTTATATGGGCCTATATGTACTTGTACCATGTGAGTACATATAATATGAAAACCATTGTCGCTGTTATTGTCAGAAATATATTTTTTTTACTTGTTCATTATTTATAGGAATCAAAAAGTTTTTGCATAAAATAACCAAGAGTATAATAAAACGTACGTATTATGTTTACATAATACATAATATAAACTAACCTAACAAGTAGATATTAATTATATTTTCACATATGATATAAAATTAAATAATGTACCCGAGTGATGAATTTTAGATTCACATTTTTTTTTTTTATTGCACAAAACATAATATTTACAATCTGTATTTACAAGTTATACAATAAGTAAATGTGATGGGAATTGATTTACAGGAGGGGGAAGTTTCCCATTGGCGACACACCGTTCGGATTCACATTTATGCACCGATATAAACATATATTTCATATTTGTAAAAATTGCAAAGTTACGATTTTATACTTTACTTAGTGTTATGGGACTGTTATTATTTGAACTAAACTTTAATAATACTTATAATTTCTATAACAACATCCGTTGAAATTAAAAAAAAATGTATAAAGAATTGACTTTTTGTAATCAGCAAACTTCCAAACGGCTTTAATTTATTATTTATTTTTATTTTTGAATTAGTAGATATTATTCTTTAGTCTTATTATTCATAGAAAATCTATTCCAACTAAACTCTAGTAAATTTAAATATTTAATATTTAAATTTTTTTTTTCATGTGATCTTGAAAAATAAACAAATATTGCAATAATTATATCGGCGCTTAATCAATAAAAGAGTTCGTACTACGTAATAAGTATAGCGGTTTATAATTACTTATGAATCCGAACATGTTATCAATACAATACCATAGATATGTCATTGAAATGAGTAAAATATACAAGCCAAACAATTTCTTCCACCAAAAAACAAATCATTTCGTGGGTCATTTTTATCCTTATTCAGTATCCTATTTTTATAATAAAAAACAGAGGTACAATCGTGAAAGTACGTTTATACATCGAGATAACGTTTATTAACAGATGATATTATTACTTATGAAACACAAAATAAATTTATTAAACCATAAAAATGCTCAATATTAAAATAAGGAACTAAAATCGATTATTTTATATTATTGAGTTTATTATATTTTTGTTCAGGTCCTCATTTTAAATTTGGAAATTAATAGAAATGAATAAACGTTTAAGCATACTCAGGATGTTGGTTAATATATTATTAAACACAAATAATTTATTTTGTAAAACCTTACCTCCCTCTCTACCGGTTTTCCGTTTCTTTTTTGCGGAACCTTTACTCGGCAATGTGTTACTAGACCCCGGCCCCGTGGCCTTCTCCTTGTTCTTCCACCGGTTCAACATATCCGTCTTCTTGATCAAATGGAAATATATCGTGACAGAGCGATCGTTTTCTTTTGGTGATGTAAAATATAATCCAACCTATCAGCCAGTCGGCATGGCCAAACCGAACTCGGCGATATACCAAAGTATCTATATAGATATTACAATTCCATTGCAGTATACGACGAAAATCGAAAATAAAATCTGAGATAAAAACCTAAACCGATTTGATACTAGCCCGAATAGGTAACTATAAAATCTTGTTGGTACCGAAATCCAACACGTTCGCCCGGCGACCGCACCGAAATGGACTTTCAGCCGCCCGCAGATGCACTTTGTGGGGTTAGGAGAGAGCAGTCGGCGCGGCGTCGGGAACGCTCGCGCGACCGGTGGCCGTTCGGCGAAAACCAACCCTATAACACCCTCGTCAGCGGCGGTTGCTCAATCGATAGCGCTTTAAGCGTCCCTCAGTGAACACATACTGTATACATAGATATATATACCTAAATACAGTACGGTACAACCCCTGCACCAGGATCGTCATAGTATAGGGCATGGGGAAGCCTCTGTATATCGTTCATGAAAGCCGGTATGAAACGTGTCTTTTTCACTTTCCCAGTCCCCACTACTACTACTTCTACTATCACCTCTACTACTATCCTATACTACTCCTACTGCTCTTACTACTACTGCTGCTGCTGCCACTACTGCTATTACTATACCGCGTGCGTGTAAATATACAAGGTGAATCAACGTGTATAACCGTTATTCTGTGTTGGCTGTATATAAACGGAAAAACGTGAAAACGAGGTGGCTTGTATACGTATACAGTGCATCGGCTTGGTTGTTCACCCCCATAACAAACTACCCCACTACTCATTCCCGGCTCGAGGTGTACACATCATTATGTGTCTATAGTCCGAAAAGATCACCATGTGGCATGCGCTAATGAATGATTTATGCGAGTAGTCCGAGATCAGAGACTTGACAAACCCGTGTGTACACTTGTATATAAGTATGCATATTTTATACTGTTTTATAGAAATACATATAAATAACTAGAATTTGAAGCATCGATATGTTTTTTTTCAGTGTTGATTTACTTAAACAAAATGTAACTTTTTAAATTTTAAGATGCTTCTCATTCACTTGATGATTATTGGAAAATTCATTGTATATTTTAATATATTTTTAATGCATGTTTTAACAAAATACAATGTATATTTTACTATTTTACACTATATATAAATCCTAACCCTAGTAATAAATATTTCTAAAGCAAATATTAGAATACTGTAAGAAATCAACTGCTAAAATACCACGAGATAATGAGTATGACTCATATATAGAATTTAAATCAATTGCATTAGGTATTATTATTAATTTAATAATAATATAAATCAAAGAATAATAATAAAATAATATAATATACAAACGTTTTCAGAAATAACACCAATTGTTTCTAGTAAGGTCTAAAGCTAAACCATATTTTCATTTAACCTATGTACCGTTACAAGATTGTTCCACTTGACCCGGTACAGGAACTTGATGTTATTTTCTACTAAATTCAAGTCGAATTAACTGTATTGAATACAACAAAAAGAAGAATGTTCGGGAACCGTCAATTTTAATGGATCGTTTCCGGTTCTCGGTAGTTCGTCATATTATTCGATATATATTATAAGAATAAGGGATTTAATACAAGAACCCGTCAAAAACACATGTTTGAGGGTTTATAAAGTAACACGTGATCGCTTTTTCCGTCGCTGCTTTGCTCTAAGTTTTCTAACAACAATAACTTATCGATAATAAGCTAATTGTATAATAACATTGTACAAGAGATTTTAATTTGAGTGGATAAATTACAAATTACAAAATATATGTACAATAGGACGAATCGTAAATAAACATTTTATCTGGTTTAGTATACAAGTTTATAATAATATGTTAATTTCTTTAGACCATAATATTATCCATCTTATAATAAGAATAAATGTAACAGAGTAGTCACATAGCCTTTACAATTTTTTATAAACAGTATTTCAGTGTATTGTATAGTTCAATTATATTCAACTACATAATAGTATTGGTCATAAATCATATTACAATATAATATATATTATATATGTACATATATATTTCTAAATTCAACTCTTCCCAATTGTTTTTAAACTATAAATTCAACAGTTTATAGAAATATAGGACAGACTATATTTCAATCGTATGTGTCTAAATATATAAATTGAAAACAGAAATACCTTTTTAAAAAATAAAACAAAATACTATTGCTACATTAAGTCAAGGTATAAACTGTTATACCCATTACCCAGACAATCTTGGTTGTTTGAAATAAAAATTGTAGGTAAATGTTTTAGCTTAAATTATATTGCATTTTACTAACTTCTTATCAAACACAAAATTCATATTATGTAGGTGCACCAATACCATCATAACGTTACCCTTTATAAAGTAAAATAAAATTAACGTAGTGTGAACAACCAGCTTAAATTAATACTATTTTTTGTTCTATAATATGACTTTATTTTGAATATATTACAATTCATACAAATGTGTACAATAAACAATAATTATGGGAGAATAAACTGTCTATACTCTATACCATTTGAACGAATTTTATATACCTATAATATACGAATTGTTTAGACGATCTTTTACGAAGGGTGGTGTGGTGTTATTTATAGGCGAGAAACGTTTGAGCGAGAACATTTTCCATTACATTATAACAGACTTACGACAATATTGGAATACTTAAAAAAAAAGTAATTTTTGTTTCGCAGCACCAAAGATTGTGGATAACGACACAATATTTTGCGATATCATACATTTTATATAATACATTATTAATTTAAACTAAAATAAAACACAGTACCTACACCTATATTACTTGTCTACCATAATCACAGTTAACTTTTGGTAAACGCGTGGGGTAATTATTTAGTCTAGTATAGTTCTAATGAAATATGGTGTAAATTATTTTTGTTAATTTTTCATATACCATTGAGTAATATACTATATTTTAGTAATTATCATACAATCATAAAAACGTCTAAGTATAATTTTTTTAAATTTTTTATTTGTGTACCACATAAAATCTAAAATCTAATTAATTTGTACACAAAATAATTAATATACTCCAATATAGAAAAAAAAGATAAAGATTTAAAAAATTATTATTATTTGCACAAAAAAATTACATTGCATGCCAAAATATTTGGTCTTATATCTATAACACGAAGATTAAATATTATTGTTATTCGGCAGCTGTAACTATATGCATTAAATACATGAAAGTCCAAAATAATAGTGTAGTTTCGATAAGTAACGTAAGGTTAGAGCTAAAAAAGAGGGACATAAGTCTCAGCTAAAAAGGTTAGAATTTATACAAACAACCAGCGCGACAGCATTAATAAAACATGCATCAATAATTAAAATAACTAACCAAACACGCTATTTGAAATAAGTATATGTATTGTGTAGTTCTTTCAAAATCGTCTACACAATATTACAATGTCGTTTAAGAGTGTGAAATATTTTGTCTACTTTTCATTTTGCTTTAAAATTCTCATTATAGCATTATATACACCTATTGGCTATTATTGTGTGCGAGGCGACCGCAAAGTTACTATGAGTCATATACAATACCACTATCACAATGGCTATTATTCGACCACTATAATGTTTACACAAACCAAAATTCTACGACTAAATACTAGTCTATGTATGAGTATGATAATTATATATAGTATAGTTAATATTAGTTATTGTTTAAAGCCACTAGGTCGCAACGATTGTAAATTTATTAAATCAGCAAACTTAACTCGTATGTCAATAAATAAACAATATTAATAATTTATATGGTCACTATGGCTAATTCCTAGAGGGTGTAGATATAATTTACACAACATACAATACATTATATTATCAGAAATATTTTAGAACTTAAAAAACAGTAGGTTCTAAGGAGAGTGCAAAAACGATAATAAATTAAACCAACTACATATTCTGAAACTGGTTTCGTCAATGACTCTACCACCACATTATAGCACCTTAAAATTGCAATTTTAAACGTACGCACAAACGAGTCCGTCTGCGAATAAGTTGAACGACGATCTCCCTCCTAAATACGTCATTCCATGTCCATGTAGTCCATGCAGTCCCAATACTTATAAATTGTGATTTAAACACAATAAATCCATTTTTTATATTTTAGTTAAGCATTCACCAAACATTTTAATTCATTTTTTTTTGAAAATTTAAAGTATTGGTTAACTTTGAATAGGAAATCAAAATATTTTTTTATGGAATTAAAGGATTTAATTTAGGCTATTTTATTAAGATTTATATGGATTTCACAAAACCTATATTTTAACATATAATATACATACTATAAATTTATGTGCAACTATTAAAATAGGTACATTCTATATAATTAATCACGGCCTCGGAGGCCTCCTAGTACAATGGTGCACTAATAATGTGAAAAACAAACATGCATAATAACTAATAAGTGCAGGGATAATTTAGTTAAATTTTAGATGCAGATATACTAAAAAGCAAAAATTGTTATCTCTTTTAAATTACCCGGAAAGTATCTATATTTATCTACTAACCCGATCACTACAAGCATACAAGTAGAAACTTTTGTCTTTTTAAAAAAAGACTGGTATAGATCAATAATTTTAAAAAAATTTTAAATGAACATACCTACTTCAATTAATTTAAAATAAAGAAATACAACTATAGGAATTAACTAACCAGCTGAATATAGCCAGGTATATCGGATGATCGGTTGACCACGATTGTGCATTAATAATGTCAACAAAGTGAGTCGAAATTAAAGAGGAAAAGTATAGTAAGTATGTTTAAGAAACCCATAATTTCTGGCCCGATGAAACGCGTCGCCCGTTTTCCGAGGATTACCCATTATAGGATTAGTCGAAAGCGCAACGGTATGTCAAGTTGAAACTCACACATTACGTCACCTATATAGTATTCTCATATGTTGCTTCTAGCAATAAATAGTTATTCAAACATATTTACGACCGTTATTGGCGGTTTCTTTGAATTTATGGAATTTGCATATTATAGCAAGTATCTAGATTCTAGACTCATATAATCCAAGTTAAAACTTGGTGAAACTGCCTCGTAAAGCTCTCTAGGAAGTATTTTAGTAAATGATCAATTTTTGTCGGGCTATGAGCGTTTTGAAATCAAAAAGAAAGTTTCAAACCCTTATTTTGAGAGCTCACTCGTGGATGAGGGTAGGCAGGGTACTTGCTTCCACTAGGAAAGCTAAAGGTTTTCAGTACTTAACAACCAGAATCTTCATTTTTTTCTTTTAAAGAAATTTGTTTTCCCTTAGTTTCGGTTTTTATGGGCACCACTATAGTCAGTTATCCGGTTTGATTTATATTCAGTTGTATAGCCACAGACCAACTAGGTTTACTTTCAGTAAGGTGAAAAAAATATATCATCTTGATTATCTTTCGTTCAAACAAAAAGAAACTCTTTTGTATGGTACTTTTAGCAGTTAAGTTTGAAATAAAGTGCAATACACTTTCCAAAAGAGTACTGTTATTAAAAACCTTACTTATTTTAATACATATTTAAGGTAAATAATAAGTTTTTAGGTGAAAAAGGTAAAATTGCGTCAATTACGCAGCACCATATATTGTTATAATATCATAAAAATATGTATGGTGTCGACGAAGCCGGTTGTAATAAAAAAAATTAATAAAAAGTTGTTTAAACAACGATGGCGACGACGACTCGCGTGTGGGGTAGTTAGCGTGCATTATGTAAATCAACACCTGAGGGGGGACTATACCAACTATTAAGATAACATTATAATAGTATAATACTCATTACTCATAATATACCACGGTGAGCGTTATTACCACGTGTTTATTACGAAAACGTGTCGAAACGCGTTCGTGGCCGGCATAAGTAATATATATTTCGAAACATTATATCGTAATCGGATACCAAAGCACTTACCGATGACCAGCCGATGACCGTTCTTGGCATTGAGTATTCGTTGCACCTCACCAGCCTCGCTACCGGACTCGCTGCCAGACTGTTGGTAGTGCTGGTGCAGAGGAGACGGCGATGGCGGTGGCCACCATCGGTTTGGTGGCGGCGGCTGCTGATGCTGCTGCTGCTGGGTTAGTCGCTGTTGGCCGCCACGCTGCTGCAGCGTACCGTAAATGGCAGACGTGGACGGGCTCCGTTTGGGCACGAGCGGTAGTGGCCGTTCCGCGGCCACCGGCGAGTCGGTCGACCGTTGGCGGGTAGGTGGTTGTGGGGACAGGCCCTTCTTGGTGGGCCAGTACGCGGGTGGTTCGGACGGAACCGGTGAGAAACTCACCCTTTTCGGGCTGCAGCCGGACGACGGCGGTGGCGGCGTTTGTCCAACGGCCGCAGCTGACGGGTCGGCGGCGGGCTCTTGCAGGGCGCCCCTTTTGAAAATTGGCTGAAACTTCTTTTCACCGGCCACGACGACGTCCTCTTCAGTCTCATAAATGGTGGACTGCCGGCCCGGAGATTCCCGGACGCACCCGATGGTGGCCCGGTGCGGGGACCCCCGGACGAAAGGGCCCGCTACGCCGGCCACCACGTTGCCGTAGATGGCCTGTTGTTGATGCTGTTGCTGCCTTTGCTGTGGTTGCTGCTGTTGTTGCTGTTGTTGCTGTTGCATTCGATGTTGCCGAACGGCGGCCGCGTACACCGCGGTGTTCGACGACGGCGGTGAGGTGATCTTGACCTGCGCACCAACAGGCATGAGCAACATCCTTTGCTGTTGTTGGCCACCGCCACAGCCTCCGTTCCTGTTGTTGTAATACTGCGAGTACGGTATTATGGGAGCGGACCGCCGGCCCGAAGGCGAGGGTAGCAACGACGATGTCGACGACGATGACAACAGTGAACAAGGGCTGTCGGTCCGACGTTCGACGCTTCCGTAATTGGCGTTAACATCCCGGTCGAACGATCCGGGACTGACGCTCCGGGACCGGAAGTCGGTCACGTCGACGGCGTGGCGGTCAACTCCTTGCGCGTATCGAAACCGCTGCAGTTGCTGTTGCTGTTGCTGCAACCGATATGCCGCGTTTCCGGTAGAGTTACCGTTGCCGTTGTTGTTGACGAATGCCGTCTCGATAATAGTCTTGTGGTTGTTGGTGCTGGGTGGTCTATTGTTGCCGATCTGGCGGTGTTGTTGGTGGTTGTGAACCGCGGCCGCGTTACCGACGTCCACGGCCACCGCCGACGACGCCGCCGCCGCCGCCTGCTTGTTCTTGTGATCGCCGCCCGCAAATATAGCGGGCGTCAATAGCCGCCGTATGCCCTTTTTTTTGGCACTATGGTCGCCGTCTGACGATTCCCCCAGCGCGGTCGTAGTCGCCGCTATCGTAGGACCCATTTTATAGTTTCAGCAGTTCGCACTTTCCGGGACTGAGCGAAGTTTCAACAATAAATTCTTTATTTTTATGATGCTCCCGGCTCCGTAGCGGATGATAACTTCGCGGGACACTACGCACACCTGAAAACTGATATTGTATATCTTATTAGCATATGTGATAGAAGACATAAAAAAAACATAAAAACGGGTTTCCCCTATACGCTTGTGCCGTGTATTCGAAAAATGTTCAGCTGTATATTGTCCCAACAACACGGTGACATGATTAATGGTGTGGTAACCTAACCTAGCCAACCAACCACAGCAGAGGTCTTACGCGTGTGTATTGGAAACCCACCTCAATAATCATAGTTATATTAATTAAGGGGTATGAACAGTGTAAAAATTGTTTGTAAAAATTAATCTTGGTATTTCTAATAATTCTGTTTATTGATGTTAATTAAAGATAATTATAAACTATCTTTGTTTATTATGCAGTATATCACATAATATAATTCGTATGCGATATAATATACTGCATAGACAAAAATAGTTAAGAATATTATTATCATTAGAACAATGAACAATATACTGTATCACAAAATATTCAAGATTAAAATTCAATACAACAATAATAAAAATGTATTTTATTTCTATACCTACTTAAATACAGTCATGAATCTAATTTGAGTTCAAACGTTTCGATCACAACATTTGATGATATCATCTATAGCACATAAAGGCATAAAATATAAATGTATTGAAGATTTAAAATATACATTGATCATAATATTATATATTTTGATGATCAACAAAATAAATAGAAAAATAATAAATAATCCAGAAAACAAATAACCTATATATTTATATTATATGAATACTTAAATTATGCCTTTTTTAATCAAATCTGTATAATGTTTAGAAACGCATACAATTAAATTTATTTTTATTTAAAATATCACTTTTATATTTTAAAATCACAAAAAGTTGGGGTGAACTGGGCCACTGTGCTACTGTGCAATTGGCACAGTGGACCGGAGTCATAATATGTATTCCCCTTGGATGGTACAAAATAATCTACCTGGTATAATATTATTATTGTTGACGATGTTTTTAAGACCCCTTCCATTTTGAATACCTTGGTAGTGGACCAACATTATCCACTCCGCTCAACTAAACATTAAATGCAAAATGCATTATTTTTTTTATCGTCGGCAATGCTTTTCAAGTATAATATCTGTTTCGTACATCAAATAGTGAAACTTAATCTTTTATTTTTAATTTTTCATCAGTTTTGGGGTTTTTGAGCAATAAGATTATTATAACTTAGATCATTTTGTTAATTTTTAATACAAATTATAAATGATTTACATTTTTCGGTTAAACTTAATTGGTAATTAAAACAATTTTGTTTATTATTTGTTGATTGTACTATTTATGATTCCGATATGTCGGTAACGTCTTTATCCTCTTCTTTATCTATATACAGTTTAACGGCTTTTTTTATTACTATGCGCCCGGGACTCAAAATAGTAGCAACTAATAGGTCAGTTAGTATTACATCGTAATCGCATTTATTTTGAAAAGTTCGTAATTTTGTTTGCTCAAGAATTATTTAAATAGTTTTTGACTTATTTTTAAGGATAATATTACCGTTAGATTGCATTTTTTTAGAGCATTATCGCTATTTTTAAAAGATTCTTCGGTAGTTTTTAAGGCATTGTAAAATCCGGCCCTTACTCATTAGCTATAAACATTAAACTACACATCTAAAATTTGATTTTAATGTATCGAAGTAGTTAAAAAAATGTGAGTACTGGTTTAGGATGTGAACAAATTTGTTATAACTTGAAAATATGTCAAAAAAATATGGCTGTTAGTATTGTAACCAATGATACCCAATATTCAAATACAATCATCATTAAGATCGGTCACTTGAAGTACAACCAAATAAATAGCTGTAAATTCGTAAGTCTACTATGAGTTACCTCCTTAAGCAATTAATTATTCCTTAAATTATTATTTACTTAAAGAAAAATGATCCATCTATCTGTTACATTTATACTCTAGATTTTATCTATGATTTATGATTTAAAGTACAATTTAAATGATAAACAAATGTCTATTTATGATGGTGATTGGTAAGTAACCAAAAGTCAAAAATTAAGTTCTAATACAATAGGGTAGATTTTTTCTTTCATTAATAGTGGGTCAAATGGGTCTTAATCCGCCCCAGCTTCCTCGCTATAAGTATATAAAGGTTTGATAAGCTAAAATCTAGAATATTGGTCTACCTTACAATTCAAGTAAAAGCTATAAATTCCTTCCTTTTTTATTTGTTCTATAGTTAGAACATTGCATTTTTGTTATTTAAACCTTAAAAATATATTCTACATTAAGTATTTTTAATTGTTCAAGTTAAAAAAACATTTAACAAGACTAATGGGCATTCATGATGGCACTTAAAATTAATTACCTAATTAATATGAACATCAGGCTGTATATTCAACAATCCCATGTCTAGAACGAATAACAGGGCGTTCACAAAAATATTTTTATAATAAATAAAGTTGATTATAATAAATCCACATGATTTAATATTATGAATTAGTCAAAAAATAAATTTCTACAATATAATGATATTAAAATAAATGGATATGGCAATTTTAATACAACACCAATAGATACTTAATTTAATAGTGTTATACAACAATATATTGTATTCATTATAGTCGATATTATTATACACTTATACGTATAGGTAATATATGTGATAACAATATCATGATATATAGTCGACATATATTTGTGGAGCCATTTCCCAGAGATTTATTAGTTATTACTTATTAGTTATTACGAAGTACATTTAATATGTATAATTTATAATACTATATAATATACTATAATGTACAATATTACACCAATTCAAAAAAGGAAAATTTCAACTCAACAATCGAATTTTATAATATAATTTTAGTTAATTATTAAAAACACTTTTAACTAAATTAAAATAATAATATTTATGAAAATTACCTATCCATTGTTTCAATATAATAATATGTTTTCTAACGTCATCTATAACAAACAATATATTTAGATAGTAATTATAAATTATCTAAATTTAATTATTGGTTATTACTTACTACATTTAACCAACGTATATAACAAAATTGGTGGACTTAGCTACTATACTAAACTCAATATTTGTCAACTAAGCCCAAATATACTCATTTATTATTTGCTCAATGAAGAATGTGAAAATAAAAAGGAATAAAAATGTATAAATTGTCTTAAAATAATAATTGATCCATCCATCTTAATCCAATATTTGTCTCAAACAAATATTCATGTATAAGTATTCATTATTCATTCTTTACTTTATACTATAAGCTACAGGTATTAAGTAGTTATGAGTTTTCTATAAAAATGTATTAATCCTGATACACAATATTAAGTGCTTTAACACAACATGATGAAGACATGAACAAACGTTAATATTGTAAAATTGTCTTCTAAAAACCAAAAAGTTAAAATATTTTTGAGAATATTTTTAAGAAAAGTAATGATGCACATACAACCCCAGCAGTTTTTATAAAAACTTTAGTACTTAGGTACATTTATAATAAATAAAATAAAGTCTTCACATTAGATAAAATCATATACCTACCCAAAGAAAAACTCGATAAAAACAAAGTATTAAAATTATAAGCCAACTAAAGATTTAAGCATAATTTTTTTAATGTAAGTACCACAAACGTATATAAACTTACAAAGCCATAAGCAGAATGTTAAGAATTATAATTGATCTATTTTACAGGATGAAAATTTCAAATATTGTATAAAAGCCAAGTATTATTTTTGCTCATAGTTTCGTTATATACATAATATTTATCATTATTTCATGACTACCACAAAGGATCCAAACATCAGGACAAGACTTAGAAAATTTTGTTCATAAAATAAAATTTTCAATTTTCAATGCTGTATTAAAAAAAATATAGTTCATTCAGAACATAAAAATTTTAATTTTTTTTTTAAATAATATTAAACATCTAATAATAAAATTACAAAATTTGGATATTTAGAGCTGTTTAAAGTTGGTTGTTTTCGTGTATTTAGACCAATAAGTGGAAGAAAAAAATATATACTTCCAAAAGTCGAATTTTAATTTTGAAAAAATATTTGAATTTGCTCGCTTATTGTCAATGTTTTATAAAAAATGAATTTTGTTTTAGTCACCAAAATAAAAGTGAATTTTAAAAGAAAAAGAAAATTAATTTAATACTATACTTACTAAACAGCACAAAGAATCGAAAATTCATTTCCTACATTATCTAGAAAAAGGAACAAGCGATTCAAATATGTTTACAAAATTAAAATAATTGGGTTTTTGGTACTGGATGTATTTTTCATCTGCTTTTTGGGACTTTCGTGTTGAACTTTCGTGATCAGAAATATGGTAACGTTTGACTGAGCATATGTACGTTAAAGATTTCCAAGAATCTTATTCATAGCTTATCTTTAATTACATAAAGCGTTCGGGGAACTCACGCCTAATGATCAGTCACACATCACTCACGATGTGTATAGAATATTCCCTAAATCCGACCCCTTAAAAATGGTTCGCTTTCAACAGCCTTAAAGTAAAATGTAGTATTTAGTTATTGGTAATTATTAGTAAGAAATGAAATTTGAATACAAAATGTGTAATAATATTAAATTATGAGCATAGGCTATACTTTATGAATTATTTTTATTTTAAGAGTTTATTATACAGTTTTATATTTAATTAAAAGAATTTGTTGAGTGTAATACCGATAAAAATTAACTAAAATAAATATAAACATATTTTAACAATAAACAAACTTCGATTGACGATTTTAATAGTTATAAAAAAAATATTTAAACACGCATGTAACAAGTTTTTTTAAGTTTGTCACGTTACAGTATTGATTATGATACCTATGACAAAATACATATACATTTATTTATAAATAATGACCTTTTGAACTTGAGAATATCAAAAAACTTCAATATTAAAAAAATATTTCCTTCATGATTTGCATTAGATATTGGGTCCATTCGGCGAATAAATTGTTTTATCAAATACGTTTCATATGTTAATTTATTTGGTAAATCTCTAAACCCCGG